AAAAAAAAAAAGGCTCCAGAGGTGATCCTGGCAACTACAGGCCGGTAGGCCTAACTTCAATACAGGGCAAATTGGTTGAAACTATAGTAAAGAACAGAATTATCAGACACGTAGATGAACATCATTTGTTGGGGAAGAGAGAACATGGGTTTTGTAAAGGGAAATCATGCCTCACCAATCCACTAGAATTCTTTGAGAAGGTCAACAAGCATGTGCACAAGGGTGATCCAATGGATATAGTGTACTTAGATTTTCAAAAAGCCTTTGACAGGGTTTCTCACCAAAGGCTCTTAAGCAAAATAGGTGTCTTGAGATAAGAGGGAAGGTTCTCTTGTGGATCAGTAACTGGTTAAAAGATAGAAAACAAAGGGTAGGAACAAATGGTCAGTTTTCAGAATGGTGAGAGGTAAATAGTGGTGTTCCTCAGAGTTCTTTACTTGGACCAGTACTGTTCAGCGTATTCATAAATGATCTGGGAAAAGGGGTAAACGGTGAGGTGGCAAAATTTGCAGATGATACAAAACTACTCAAAATAGTTAAGTGCAAAGCAGAATGCGAAGAGTTACAAAGGGACCTCACAAAACTGGGTGAGCGGGCAATCAAATGGCAGATGAAATTCAATGTTGATAAATGCAAAGTAATGCACATTGCAAAAACATAATCCCAACTATACATATAAAATGATGGAGCCTAAATTAGCTGTTACCACTCAAGAAAGAGATCTTGGCGTCATTGTCGATAGTTCTCTGAAAACATCCACCCAATGTGTAGCAGCAGTCCAAAAAGCTAAGAGAATAATGGGCATCATTAAGAAAGGGATAGATAATAAGAAAATATAATATTGCCTCTGTATAAATTTATAATACTCCCACATCTTGAATACTGTATGCAGATGTGATCGCTCCATCTCAAAAAAGATACACTGGAGTTGGATAAGTTACAGAAAAGGGCAACAAAAATAATTAGGAATATGGAATAGTTGCCATATGAGGAGAGATTAATAAGACTGGGAATTTTCAGCTTAGAAAATAAATGACTAAAGAGGGATATGATAGAGGTCTATAAAATCATGACTGGTGTGGAGAAAGTAAATAAGGAAGTGTTATTTACTCCAGAAGAACTAGGGGTCACCTAATGAAATTAATAGGCAGCAGGTTTAAAACAAACAAAAGGAAGTATTTCTTCGCACAACACACAGTCAACCTGTGGAACTCTTTGCCAGAGGACGCTGTGAAGGCCAAGACTATAACATCGTTCAAAAAAGAACTAAATAAGTTCATGGAAAATAGGTCCATCAATGGCTATTAGGCAGGATGGGCAGGGATGGTATCACTAGCCTCTGTTTGACAGAAGCTGGGAATGGGTGAAAAGGGATAGATCACCTGTTCTGCTCATTCCCTCTGGGGCACGTGGCATTGGCCACTGTCGGAAGACAGGATACTGGGCTAGCTGGACCTTTGGTCTGACCCACTATGGCCGTTCTTATGGAGCAACGATGCAGAGAATTAAAAAACTAAGAACAAAAAATAGTTATTCATCAGTAACTGTACAGCTTCCTTGCAGTGATTGTCCTGGACAATTTCCTTCAGGATAATAAATAATAAAGTTCTTAGTCTCCTTTTCCATAGTCATCATCCAGCTCACTCCCCATTGTTTTCACCATGAATAACTTCATTGGCATGACCAGGTGTTGCTCAAGTTAATACATCTATCATTAGATTAATTTTAGCCCTGTTCTCAACCTAACCATGTAAAAATTATTTGCATCTCCAAAGAAATATACAGAACATTGGTTTATCCTTAAAATGTTGCTTGAATACCCATGTAAACTGACAGTACTGTACTTTTACAGGTCAGTGTTTATAAATTGCATAAAAACATCTGCATTACTGTGCATATGTGAGAACAAATCCTTATAAGAGATGCAAAGAACATTTTCATGCTCTGTCCATACACATAAATGATTTGTTTTGGCTTATAAATAAGGCTGAGAGTCTGTCACGGAGGTCACAGAAATCACAAATTCCATGACCTTCCAGGACTTCTGCAGCAGCCACCTGAGGAGCTGGCGCGGCCCGGGGCCAGCCACACTGGCTGCTGCTGGGGCAGTCTCAAGCCTCCATGCCTCCTCCCCCAGCAGCAGCAGGAGTTTGGACGTGGAAGGGAGCTCAGAGCTGGGGCAGGGAGTTGGGGCACAGGAGGGGGTGAGGGCTCCGGGTGGCGCTTACCTCGGGGGGCTCCCCGGAAGCAGCACCATATGCCTCGGCCCCCAAATGAAGGTGCGGTCAGGCAGCTCTGCACAGTGCCTCCGCCATGGTTCCTGGCCAATCGGTGCTGCGGAGCCGGCGCTTGGGGCATGAAGAGTGCACAGTACCCCCTGGCCGCACCTCCACCTAGGATCCAAGGGAAATATTGCTGTTTCTGGGGAGCCCCGTGGAACCAGGTAGGAAACCTGTCAGCAGCAACTCCCCCCCTTCCCCCGCAGAAGCACGGCACCCCCCACAGAGCACCCCCAGGCCACCCCCCTCCAGAGCACCCACGGTGCCTCTGGGCCGCCCCTGCCCCAGAGCACCCAAGATTTAATCAGGGTATATAGGATAAGTCATGGGCTGTGAATTTTTGTTTATTGCCCGTGACCTGTCCATTACCTTTACTAAAAATGCCCATGACTAAAACATAGCCTTACTTATAACCAGTCTCATTAGGTGTTCTATATGTTGTGATGAAATAAAGGTTGTCCAAAATATCAGCATTGACCCTTAGGAGAATCTGATTAGTCTCATTGGAGTTAATTAGACTATTTGCATTGCTTAAAGTTAAGCACATGCTTAAGTGCTCTGTTGAATCAGGGCCGTAGTGAGCAAGTGGCTTTTCCAGTCTCCTTCACCTTCAAATACATTTAGCATACTTGTCCTGCTTAGGACTTGTCCCGCTTCTGGAATTTTGCTTTAATCATAAAGAAGTTTCCATTCAGTTGCAGTCCAATGTTTCTTCCTAAGCTTTTTTCGTCCTACGGTTCCACCTTGGGCACTCCCACTTCCTTGGTATCTATGGTGGAGCTAATAAGTACTTGCAATAGTGAGTCAGCTGATCAACACCTGCTAATTCGTTGCCAGACTCAGCATCTCCCATCAGAATCAACATCTGCCAACAGGTTGTTTCACAGGAAAATACTGGCAGCATATACACTTTTATACATATAAGCCATGATTTTCCAACTTAGGTGCCTAAATCCATATTTAAGCACCTAAATAAAAGTGGTCTGATTTTTCAGAGGTGCTGAGTGCCCTTCAGCTCCCGATGTCTTCACTGGGAGTGTCTGGTACTTAGCCCCTCTGAAAGGCAGGCCATTTCTGTTTAGTGATGGGATATTCAAATATGCTTCAGTGACTTAGCAGCACAAGTCTCAGCACAGGACTATTGATTTAGGACTGGTCTTCACTACAGGGAGATGGATGCTGCTGCAATTGATGCAGCAGGGGTCGATTTAGCAGGTCTAGTGAAAACCCACTAAATCGATGGCAGAGCACTCTGCAGTCGACCCCAGTATTTCACCTCTCTGAGAAGAAAGGGAAGTTGACCGGAGAGTGTCTCCCATCGACGCTGCGCAGTGAAGACACCTGGGTAAGTCAAGCTAAGCTACGTCGACTCCAGCTACGTTATTCACATAGCTGGAGTAGTGTAACTTAGGTCAACTTACCCCAGTAGTGAAGACAAGCCCTTATAGTAGGACTTGTGTTACAAAGTCACTTAGATGTTTTTAAAAATACCATCCCTAGGTGCCTCAATATGGAACTAAATTTAAAAGACTTGAATCTGTGGGCCTAAAGTTAAGATCCTAAATCCCTATTTATCCATCTAAAAAGAAAAGTGGCCTGAGGAACTGAGCAACCCCAGCTCATATTGTAATTAATGAGAGCAACAGGTATCTAACTGTGGATTCAGAAGGCTAAGTTTATGCAACCAAGATAGAGAATTTTAGCTGTAGAGTAATATTAATTATTGCATCTATAGTATACGTTGAAATGATCTTCTGGAAACAAATATATTTTCATTAGTGATTGAAACTGGCATTAAATTTGTTTATTTTTCTGTTTCCATAAACCTGCTTGTACAAATAACTTTCTTTGGAGCTGGACACAATATGCCTTTTTAACGTCAGATTTCTGTTTGACAAGTTCGGTCTCCTGGTTTGCTAGATATTTTTCCTTGTAATAAAAGTGATAATTTGTTTATCTGACATAATCCGGATATTCTGGTTTATTTCATAGTTGGGTTTATGGCATGTTTGTTTAAGGCAGCAAAGGTTGACTATGTACAGTTCCTTGCTGTGTTGGTGCTAGTCATTGAAGCTGTGAGCATTCAAAAATTTAAAATTAATAACTATATTCATGTTGTCTATCAAATCATATGTTTCTTTCCAAGACTTTTAGTTTAACCAGGTAGCATTAAGTACTGTATTACATATTGTTCTGGTTTAAAATCAAGCTGTACTTCAGTTTCCCCAATTTTCCACAGAAAATCATAGAAGATAGATCAAAGTTTGTAATTTTGTGCTTTCTGAAAGCACACTGGACACAGACTTTCCATTATATATGTACTTTCATTATTAAGATTAGTATTTTTAGTAAAACTAGTAGAATTTCAGTTGTGGTGGATCTCTCAAAACTTGAATTATAGTTTCAAGATTTTTGGATTTGTTGTAAAACTTGCTATTACCAATCGGAACAGTCACAGTGCTACAGTATATGAAGTAGGAAATACTAGATTTCATTTTTTAGGCCATGATTCTGCAAAGACTTGTGCAGGTGCTGAACTTTAAGTACATGAGTAGTCTCAGTGAATTTAATGGGGCTTCTGATGTGTTTTAAGTCCAAGATAAGCCTAAGTCTTTGCAGGACAAGGGCATAAGTTAATAAATGAAAATAAACTTTATTATCAAAGAGTATATCTGTTAGGACTATTCTTCCTTTTCACTAAGGTTTCACTTTTTTCCCTAGGTGTTTACCTCCCATGGACCCACTGTGATCATGCCTACCTGGTTCTGCTCCCGAGAATGGTTTTGTCATGTGGGCAAATTTAATGAGGGTGGGAAGGTAAGTGCTACTGATAGAAACAAAATTGATACTCCATTCTTGATTCCATTTTGTTAAGAATTGTGTGTTAGCAGGACAATTGGTAGCGTTATGCTCTCAAGAGGTCTTTTCCTATTGCTATTAAATGGGCCACAGAATGTTAGTTCATGTGTGGATAACTAAACTCAGATACTACAGGGGATAAAACTGAGGAAAAGCATTTCCTCTTCTGGCTTGCAAATTTCAGAAAAGACTTCAGTTCATCAACAAACACTCCTCCAGCTTTTTGGTGTGTTTCTAGAGTTAAGGCTTTGGCGCACAGCGCTGAAACAACATTGGTTACGTCTATGCATCAGCTATGGGGTGTGATTCCCAGCTTGGATAGACATACATGCACTAACTGTGCTTGAATTAGGGCCTAAAAATAGCAGTGTGGCCACAGTGGCACAGAGAGCAGCTCAGGCGAGCCACCTGAGTATAATCCTGCCCAACCTCCTTGGTACAACTTGGGCAGTTAACCTGAGCTGCTGCCTGTGCCACTGCAAACTCACTGGTAGTTTTATGTGTTAGCTCAAACAGAGCTTGCAATGTACGTATAACTGAGCTGGGAGTCTCGCCTCCAGCTGCTATGTAGACATATCCTGTGTGATGGAAGGACATTCTGATAATTAACCAGCACGCTTATATTCTACTTTGTTTCTGAATACTTCTATGTAATACTGCCAGACATAGCTTTGCAGTACTGCTGAAGTAATTCCTACTCTAATTTATGTACTACTTATTACAATACTAGATTATTATCATTGCTGTTATTAGATTTACAGTACCACCTACTGACCCCAGCTGACAGTGAGGCCCCATTGTGCTAGGCACTGTAAAAATATATGGTGAGAGAGAATCGCTATCCCAAAGAGTTTACAGTCCAAATAGAAAAGATGGAGAAGGGTGGGAGGGGAAACAAAGTCCAAGTGGTGAAATGTTTTGCCTAAGATCACACAGCAGGTCAGTGGCAGAGCTTGGAATAGGACCCAGGTCTCCTGAGTCAATCCAATGCCCTATCCAGTAGACAGACCATATGACTTTTCTTTATCTCTCTGTCTCTGTCTCTGTCTCTCTCTCTCTCTCGCTTTACCCTGGGGTTGACTTTCCATTATCTGAAGAATACCCATTTGACTTAAATCACCTCTTGAGCCTTGCCCTGTAACCATGCTAATATGGTTTGGGTTTTTTGCCTTCCTACTTTTTAAATTTTATTTTACAGCATACGTGCCTCCTGTGAGTAAAAGTGATCACCTTAAATGGCCGCAATGCCAAGTCTAAGGGTTTTTGGATTTATGATATAGGTAATACACACATAATAGTTACCTGCCAGTCAATAATAAAAAAAAATCCTTAAATTTAGCCTCATTTCCCACAGTTTACTCCCTCCCCGAACACCTGGTGGGACAAGAGTAGCTTTGTTGGGGTGTCCAGGAGATCAACAAATCCAGGCTCTGGCAGACAGACGGGATTGAGTTCTGGAGACCAGGGACCTTCAAAGAAAATGCCCTGCTAATAGCCCCCTCATCTCTAAACCCGGGAGTCTCTTGTTCAAATGCTTCCACTGCCCACAACTGCAGGATTGTGACAAGGGAGGAAAGCAGCAATTTCCCAAGTCATCTCATCCTTTACCACTGAGGTGGGATTTTCAGAAGTGCACAGCGTTGGCCTAGCTCTTCCCTTTGGAATAAATGGGAGATTTGCCATACGCAACAATGGGAACAGAGTTACTGGTCAACACTGGGTTGTCTTTGTTTGTGTATATGTTGACTTGACTCATCATCTGACTTGTTAATCATATCTCTCCACCTTCTTGAGTTAGTATTAATTATGCAATCTACAGGTGTCAGGTTGCTGCCAGTAAACAGAGAAATAGATCAAGAAATCTCTAGATTCTAGTCTTTCCATTTGCAAAACTGTTTCCATACCAAAAAGCTGCATTTCTCACTTGGAATTAAATCTGAACACCTGTTCTTCATATGTCAAATGTTGGAGAGGTTGTGATTTGAAGAACTAAGTAAACAAAGCACATGGAATAATTAATGTTAACCAATGTCTAAATCCTTCTTATTCGTAAAGTATATCTAATTTTCCCAATGCTTCATGGGAGATTTAAAGCTTACGAAGACTCCATTTTATTAACAAACTTCCTCTCCTTCAAGATGTTCATTCACTACAAAGACATATTTTCTCTGCATTAGCATTATTGCAATATCCAAACAGAATTATAAATGACTTCTTCTGAAATGGGGCTTGTCTACTTGTGACTAAAAATCTTGACTGTACATCAAAGGGCACAATTACAAATATACTTTGTGCGCTATCCAAGTACAATGATAAAAATCCTATTACACAATGTAAATAAGGAGAATGGAATGGCTATCACTGTTATATGTATTTAATTATGTTTGTTCAGTTCCATTATATGTAAGTGAGGAGAATATTTACTTATTTAATCATAAGAGCCAGGGTTGAAATATTTTGAAGTAGAGAAAGCAAGTTATCCAGTAAAGCTGACTGACTGACTCTACTAACTTTCATATAATTGCCTTGCAAGTAACTGATTTTAATATATGTTCATGGTATGCTGAGTAATATGGAATACCACTGAAATCTAGGCAAGAATATAAAGATTTTAATGACAACCACTTTATTTAGGATAGTGTCCTCTCTACAGTACATCCAGAGGTAGGAGGATGGTGGTATAATGAATGTATTTTTGAGGAACTTTATCAGAAAACTGAAGAGAGAGACTTCCTGGAGTGCATCCATCCCACACAAATTAAATTTAGTGACCTCTGTTATTGGAACGAGTGGCAAGATTTTATTTACAATTTTTGAGCTTAGTATGTGAAAGTTTTCTCTTTGGGAAACTTGTGTGTGTGACGCCATCTAATTTATTTGATCAAGTGTGTGGCACCTTGCTTGTAAATTTATTCCAACACATAGAAATGTTATTAAAAAGCCATCACTGGCTTCACATATGTGTCACAAAGAGAATGAAGGGTTCCAGCTTTATGTACAGTTTCCTGGTATCATTAAATGACTGGTACATTTCAAAACTTGATTGCCCATGAGAATCGGGGACTGATAACCTTGGCCAGGAACAGATATAGTGGAGGCTGGTGCTCTGTGAAGTTTCCACTATATATCTTTATCATAGCACCTCAACCTTTGGCCAACAACATCTTTTGCTATTCTAGTTATGGGTCTGCACATAGCTCTGCCTAAACATATCCTCCCTTCTTCAGTCATTAGACTACAGAGCTTTGCCCTGTCTCTTGTGGACATCCAAGTAAAAGTTAAAGATCCCATGGTGCTTTTGGAAAAGACAAATAACCTGCATCCTGGCCAACATTTTCTTAATTCTAATGTCTTGTGTGAACTATTTGTAAGTGTGTAATTGTAAGCTACACAATTACTACACTATGATACCCTAACTTACTGCTTGGTAAATACTTTTGAGAAACTTAAAGCACATAAGACATAGGTAACCCCAAAATCTTTTCTGGCCTGCCTAACCAGCAAACTCCTCTTCTTCAAACTTCTGCTGAACAAAGGAGAATCAAAAATGGCAGTTTGCATAATTATGCTTTTATATGGACAAACTTCACCATGAGATTAGAGTGAGAAATACCACAATTATTTTATCCCTGATACCCAGGGCAGATCAGTGTAAAATATTGTCTTCTCTAACTAAATGCTCCGTCTATCCTGCCCCCCTAACCCCAACCCCAACTTTAACATTCCTTTTTAAGTGTATCCAGACTAGAATTTTACGTAAATCTTGCCCCGTTTTAAAACTTACCTAAAAGTGCAAACAGAGGGAAATTATTTTTAATGAGCCCCAGGTGTAATCATGTAGCATGAGCAGCTAGCATTTCTGAATACAAACTGCAGTTCAGAATGCAGTGGCTCGCTCTCAGCTCTGATCTGTTCCTGTGATAAAGGGTCATGGAAAGGAGGAACTGAGGTGGGGTTGAAATACATCTTGGTGCACAGGAGAATGCAGTGAATACTCCAAATGTCTAAAGGAGCTTTATAGCCTTTGAGGGGCTCGCTAGTACCTTTCTCCATTTCTCTGGGCCAGAAGAAAACTGTCAGAATTCCCTCAAGAAACCAAGCATTTATAATAAGCCCTGGAAGCTGAAAGGTTAAGGAGAAATTTGTGGGGTTTTGGAACATGAATTAGAATATTGTCAGACTGTCAAATGACCTGTCAAGGTGCTCTGGGGGAAAAATGAGGACAAAACACAGGCTCTGATATTCTTGGCATGGTACAGTTAAAGCTGAACAGAGATCAGTATTTGAGTAGTATCCAGGAAGAAAAGAAAGTGCTGGAGTCAATGATAAATTATGCTTACATAGTATTTGAAAACCCACCTCCTCCCCCCACTTCTGAAGACATTTCTTGCTAGTGTATTATTAAGCGCACTTTAGAATTCACCCCGCCCTGACCCTTTGGCTTTCACCTTTTCCTTGTTTAATTTAATTGCTATTTGCCAGTAGAGCAGACATGTTTCTCTTTTAGAAGAAAGAAAATGTGCAGAGTCTCTAGTAACCCTTTAACTTTATTTCGCAAACACTGAAGCAAATATAACATTGTCACAGATTTCCTGTTTTATAATCAGGGCAAAATGATTTAAAGGCCTTATCAGGGTATGAGCAAAGGGACAGAGTCACAGATCTAAAGAAAGATTAAGAGGCTTAAGAGTGTTTTGGATAATTCTGAAGAGAAGCCAATTCAAATATTACTCAGTGCAATAATTTAAGAGAAAAAGAGTACTTGTGGCACCTTAGAGACTAACCAATTTATTTGAGCATAAGCTTTCGTGAGCTACAGCTCACTTCATCGGATGCATACTGTGGAAAGTATGGAAAGTACACAAGATCTTTTTATACACACAAAGCATGAAAAAATGGGTGTTTACCACTACAAAAGGTTTTCTCACCCCCCACCCCACTCTCCTGCTGGTAACAGC